CCTTCCTGCTAGGGCTCCTACTGTCGCACATTCCTCCATTTCCTCTTACTACTTCTTTCACTTCTGGGTAAAACTTTTTGAGACATTGCTCATATTGTCAACTTGGCCATTTGTGGTCTAAATATTGGTTCTTTTTCTTAGTTAGTTGTGCATTCGGTAAACAGGGCAGCTTTTCACTTTCATTGACTAATAGCATACGCACAACATTCATGATCCTCTTCATTTGTGAGCTTAATTAATAATTGTAAGATATATTTCTCCAGGCAACCAAGTAGATAATGGAAGATGCACCAGTTTTCATTTCAGTTTCATTAATATATTTTGTAAGCTGTCTGCTATTTGCTACGCAATAATAATTGTACCCACATCATGGCCACTAAGCTGTACACCTCAAGGTTACACGTCTCTGGTAGTTCAATAAATTTAATAAACATATTATTCCACAAACAGCTGTGGCCAGAGGTATTACGTCTTCAAGCTGTCCATGCCATTCATGTAAACATGATATTTCTTAAACTCCTCGAGAAAGTTTTTTTCAAACTCGACAAAACGGTTCACTTGGACTCAAGGATGAACTGATTGCATTTTGTAGGTCTTAGTTCAGGGTCACCTCACATCTGTCCCGCTTTCGTGAAGGTGATATATCAGATGCCTGCGGGGAATTTTATTATACAAACGTTCACTTGGACTCAAGGATGAACTGACGATGATGAAAACGAATTTTGTTTCCACACCTTGAGGGGCTTCTTTGAAATTTGACACAGTGATTAATTTGTACTCAAAAAGGAACCTTACAAAACAGATTTGTGGCCATGATTTAAGAAACTGTGCGCTAATTATACAATTTAACACACACTGTAAAGAAGAGACAAATGGTTACTGGACTCCAATATGTTGTAAACCCCGTCCCCACTGACCCCGCCCATCCCAGATTAGCTCGACAATCTGGGAACACTCAGTATTGCCTAATTTAAAAAGTTCTCTAGTCAGAAAACTGTTGTTTGATTTTTCCTGACAACAAGTAGCATTGGGATACTTGAGTTAACAGCTGACTGTAAAATCGATGTTTGTGGTCTTCTGTTGTCCAACAGAAAACATAAAAGCATGATGTTGGCAATGGAAAAGCCTCAGTTCCCAATAGTGCCACACATGATGTGAATAAAATCCGAATCCAGCGTTGAAATAATTATGGTTTAATGTTTATTATCTTAGCTGCTGAGTACAGAAATATCTTACACATGCAAGTTTTTATTGGACAGTTTTGCATCACAACTGCATCTTTGTGGAAGCTTTATTCTCTTTTCTGTTTTTCTTGCATTGGACAAAATAGATATTTTTTACATGACTGTAATTAGTCCTTAGAAAAAGCGAACACGGGTTTTTCCCTTTTTCCAAGGAATAAGGAATACCAAGGAATACTTTCATTTAAGCAAGAGTTAGAGTTTGAATGTAGGCTTATTGCCATTTTATAGTCTACAAGTCATACATATTTAGTATGCAAAATAAGCGAGTACATCGCTGTGCACTGTCACTTAAATGTTGACTCATTTAAAGCTGTATCACCTCTCAATAAGTGGATTATTTCTAAGCTGACAAGTAGAATATTTTCATTTATGAATGACTAAAACAAGACTATATTTAGAATACTCAAACACCACAGTTTATAAATTCAGTGAAACTAAAGCTAATACACTATGGTAACTTTCGCATGCAAGAAAGTATATTTCATATAAGCCTGATTATTACAAACTGTCATGTAAACACCATAGTTGTATTAAATCTGTGCAATGCATCTACATGAATTGAAAGAACTGCCAAAAATCTGCTCTGATTGGCTTTAAGTGTGAAGGTCATACAGAAAGACACACGATCAATTAACAATGAGTTAAAGCACACATCTACAGCAGTAATTAGGAGGTACAGAATGGGCCACAGTACCAACGATCACAGCCACAGTGGTTTCCTCCTAAAATAAACCTTTGGAGAATGTGCTGCATGTACAAACTAGCAGTGAAAACCAGACAAGACAAGAGCAAGGACTTCAGACTTAGTATAGGATCAATGGAAATCTGAGTTTCAGTGACAGCTTAGACAGTTCGAAGGACATTAAATAATAGACGACAAAGAAAAAACGCTTTTGTGCTTTTTGATTCAAACGATAATGTTAAACTTTGCAAAAGAATACAAGAAGAAGCCTGATGAATCCTGGGAGGTCATTCGGACTTTTGTTCAACTCAGATGGGGTGCAGTATGCCTGGCCTACACTACACTACCACAGTGAATCCACAGCCCTGACAGTGACTCAGGGCGGGGCTTAATGAGTCACTTGATGAGATGATATTTAGACATGGAACAAATTTGGCCTGAATGAAAATGAGTGATTGGCTAAATAGCCCATCAGCAGACAGTGGTTCAATTAACCAACTATGTGCTTATAGACATCAGAGAGGGTCGGGCACAGATGCCACTACTGTTCAAGCCATTAATAATAATATTGAATTGAATCAAGTTATCCAAGGGGAACACATCTGTAAATTTTATTGAATGAATTTTGACAAAATGTCAGCTTACAACGAAACACTCGCGAACATAGTTTGCACCATCTCTTTCGTGATTTCTGCTACAGCAGGTTTTTGCTGTAACACAAACTCACAAGGTGAAAAAAATACCAGATGTGTTGTTGTGGCAACTAATAACCTTTCCTGTTGAGTTTATTAGCAGAGCTAAGGCTCTATCTGAGTTGCTCAGGTGTGGTCTATCTACACCCATTTATTGCTCCACGTTGGCTGAAATAAATTCTTAAAATCCTGCAAAAGTTTCTTGTACCACAAATGCTTACCAGACAAGCTTTGAACACAATATTTGCGTATGATTATTAGCACAGGCAACCATGCAGAGACCTACAGGGAAGCCCAGACTGGAGCTGATAGAGCATACACACACAAATGTCATGGGCACTAGCATCCCAATCATTTGTATCTTGAAATGGGGATCAAATAATAAGTCGTAAACACTGTAATGAGTGCTAAGATTATCTTCAACTTCTCTGTTTTTTGTTTTAAAATCTCTCTTGCGGTTGAGGGCCCATACTGTTCACTAACAGCCCGACGCTAATTTGGGATAAAAAAAAAAAAATACTGACATGCAATATTTTGCTGGTTTACCACAGATTTCCAAGGGACCACACACACAGCAGTGAAGTACCACACATGCTCATTTGATAAAATTAGGTTAGGAAGGAGACCGTAGTGTGCTTTTCTGTCTTTGTGAGAGAAGAGCTCATGGTGTGGAAATTAAGAGCCTGCATGTACTTGTGTGCGTAAATGTGTGCATTTGTGTTTGTGTGTGTGTGAGAGAGGCTGACTAATCCCTCCACAGAGCTGAAACGAGTTAAAAACACATCAAAGGGAAGCTTAACCTCTGTGAAACCTCACCGGGTTTTCAAGAACAACAAATGATCATTCTCCTCATTGTTTCCAGGGGGACTCTTTTCACCGCCGCGCTGCTGACTTTTCCCTCAGTCCTGGGAGTTTTCAAAAAGCCTGTGGTTTCATTTTTAATGACTGTGCCATTTGTGAAAGTGTGTGTGTTTGTGAAAAGAATATGCGTGTGTGGATGTGTGGGTAGGTGCACACGTGTGTGTTTGCACATAAAAAAAGGATATTTTTGAGTGTGACATGGCAAATGAGGAAAACAAAGCTAACAAGGACATGCAGCTCCGCTCGAAATCATTAAAATGTATGACATCCTGACCAGCTATACAACCGCTATATATATATATATATAAATATAAAGAACCAATGAAGGATAAAAAAAAAAGAAAAAGTGGGTTTGGAAGACAGGAAGGTGGACACGGTGACAGAGAAAGGCAAGATGAAGAAGCCAGTTGTGGCCTGAGACCTGCTTTTCCTAGAATTCTCATTATCACAGTGTTCCCTCTTTATAACTTTGGATATGCACATGCTTCCTCTGCGAGTGTTTATTTGTGCGAATGAGAGTTGCTCTTATTCAAACACTTGAAACATGAATAGAGGAACGCGTGCCCTATAGATCTACATGTTATCCCAGGTCCCAAACTCATTTTAGATCTTTTAATGGAACGATTTTACTTCCTAGAAAGGTACTTACCCGTATCAGCATCGATGCTTGACTCAGCAGTCGTAGAATTTTTTTTACAAAAGCCTAATTAACGAGTACCACTGCCAGTTATTGTTACAGTACAAGCATCCAACTGGCAGAAATAATATATTTTTGGCACACTGACATGCAAAACAAAAGTGGGGAGGAATATAAAGCCGCTTGCAAATATGTGTTTTTATTTTGCTACCGTCACAATACGGGGCACAGAAAAAAAATCAATAAACAGTTTTGAAAGTATAAAACATAATATCAGACAGCTAATACACCCAATCACGCGAGCACGCGCTCGCCCACAGTCTCTCAAAGAGACACAGAAGTACACAGACACATAATGTACTCAAACATAGAGACGCACGGCCACATTCACCGCAGCAGACGCGGGACACGTGGTGCACAGCTGGAGCATAATCAGAGGCTGCGTTACTGCCATTTACATCAACATCTGAACCACGCCTGTGGATGGATCATGTGCTGTTTCTCATTTATCCAAGCGGGACTCATCTTCAGATCTACTGTTTAACTCTATCTACATTAAGTTTCTTGTTTTGATTAGTTCATTTGTGCATTTAAGGTGCAAAAATCTGGTTATAGCTCAAGTGAACTGTTGGGAATTTTCAAATAAGTGCATTTGAGATTTTGTGCTCACTGCTGCAGTTTTGCTGCAGAATAATATTATTAATTGAAGATGTAATTGCTTGAAGCACTGAAACATTTCTGAGGACATAGTCAGTTATCATAATTTTAAGTCTATCTAAGTAATCTGTCAGTGTGAACGTTTTCTTGGCATAAATCGTTGCATGGAACAGCAGTACCCTTATAAATATGGCTGAAGAAATTCCATTATTTTCTGTTTCCGAGCGCCCCCTTAGGCACAAAGAACTGTGGGACTTGACTTTGACCTGCAGGACATTAACCTCATCCTGGGTATGCTCCCCAGCGAGAAGCTGAAGGTCAAAAGCCATGGCAGGTCAAAGTCTTCAGGGGGCTTCATTTTGCCGGATTCCTGCTTGTCCCCTTAGACCCGGCATCTTCCACAGAGGCGGAGAAAGCGCACTTGGAAGACGGCCTAATCAAGGACGCTTTATCCGAAGCCTTGGACTCACCTGGTCTCCCTACTCCGACTGTAGTCGGCTTGGTTTGAGTGCCATTAGTGTCCCCTGTCACTGGGACTATACTCAGAAGACGGGGCAGGTCCAGGGATGAGGGAAGGGAGGCACAGATAGGAGGGCTGACACTGAGAGAGAGTGGGAGGTGGATGGTGGTTGTAGGGGGAGGAGGAAGGGGCCCACTCCTCTCCACTTGTCTATGCATGGACCTCTCTTCTTCCAGCTGCCTACGCAACCGCTTATTCTCCTGACTGAGATTGCCTAACTACAGAGAAAAAAAGAAAGAAACATACACAGAGAAGCACATGTGCAGACAAAGAGATTAATATGTTTGCGTAGCCAAAGGAACAGTGGCAAATTTTTGAGAAGTTTCCAAAAAACACGGCTCTCCTTTAGCCGAAGCAGTGGAATCACACAACTCGAATCAAAGTTAGCAATAAATATCAACCATCAAAAGTGAACAGCTATCGTGCTCATCAAGTAACTGACATTCCATTATGTGATTAATTCATCATCTTTCACAGTCGCTTTCATGCCTGTTGAAACAGAAATGCAAATGGAAAATTGCAAGGGGGTGGGGGGGTGGGGTTCAGGATTGTATTGTGTTCACAGTTTGAAATGGTTGCAAGAGGGAGTCATGCGACAGTGTAAATTTCTACATGAAAACAGCCAATTTGAGCGATCATTAGAGGTCGATTTGACACAAAATCATCCGTGACACAAAACAAATCGCACATCGTCAGGACATGATTGGGCTCCCTGAAACACAATTATAGACTAGCTAAATTGAGGATTTTTTGTTTTATTTGTGTGTGTGTGTGTGAGACAAGGACATTTGGGTAAAGGCAGCGTGGAGTGTGAGTTAAAACATGGCTTTTAATACAAAAAATAAAAGCATTTATATTTGTTGTAAAAGCTCGGTAATTATATGCAAAATGTGCCAGTCTAAAAATTGCAATAAGGTAGATAAAAGAGAGGAAAAGATATGAAATAATGTATTTTTAGCTGTGAGTACGAGTAAAATAAGAAATTAAAGGATGTAAAGACAAAAAAGACTCATCGGGTAATGACAGTTGCACTCATCCACATCTGTTTTTAAGTGTGTGTGTGCGTGTAAAAACTGCGGTTAAAGAATGATGTCACATTAACATGTCTGGCCATGTGTGAGTCTGCGTGTGTGTGTGCGTGAAGGAGAGAGAAAAACACAAACGGAGATGAGACAGACACATTTCCGGATGGTTCTGCTAATATTACCCGTCCAGACATCGTACGCATGCACACAGACACTGAGAGACACACACATGCTCAATAAACTCTGAGCACGGGTCTTAGGCTTAACCCTCGAAGAACCAATGGCATGTCGACGTGTCAAACGATCATAAGATGCTTAAAAGGTATTTACTATCCTCAACAGGCAAACCTCCTTCCACACGTCCATTTTCAGTCATGCCAAAAGCAATAACAATTCTAGATGAAAAACACAGAGTCTGACATTTATAATTAACTGCACGCGACCGGTTTAATTTTTCTCATCTTTTGTGGCTCTGGATGCTTTTCTAATTGTAAGGCGGGGGGGTTGAAATTAAAAATCACAGCTTGTCTTCTCAACCTTAACTTTCCGTGGGTGAATTGGTGTGCATATATGTGGATGAAAAGGACACAAGGATGTGTATAAGTAGGGGTGAAGGGAGTTAAGCATGTGTGCGTGTGTATTTTTCCACAGTTTGTATAGTTTTAATGCAAATTATGGCAATTACAGAACTATAAAAGAGTTGCATAAAAACTGTTCAGCTGCTTAATGCCTGTTTTAATTGTCGCGTGTAGCCACGAGACAACCTGGATATCATCAGAAGAACGATACCCTGCTGCTGATCGAGTCTCGAAAAGAATCTCGATTTTTAGTCCTCTCGTGTTCGTCTTCATCTCTGTTAATTTTCTGTGACGTTTCAAAAGTTTGCATGAAATTGGCTTGACAGTCGGATGGAAATCATGCATATGTGCTCCGTATAATGCCTTTCGGCGAGTGAGAAAGCGACGGCGTCAAACCAGTTTGTTACTATGAGTAAATACGACTGATTCAAGGAGACACAGACCTGATTTGTAACCCAACGCCTTTCATAATCTGAGTCATTCCATTCAACTTCTTTACTGATAGCTCTGTGTGCGCGCGCAAGTGTGTTCACTGCAGAGTGAGGTGTTTACATCCTCTCCTTTCCTGACTGCCTGCGTGTATGTGTGTGTGTATACTGTCCATGTTGGATCGATGTGTGTAATGATTCACACTAGAGATTAAGAGGTGCTATTACACACCTGACCTGTTAAACAACACCTCTCTCTTTCTCTCTTGTCTGAGTTCTCCTCTGCGTTTCTCCATGTTCCTCTATCCTAAACCCACAGCTAATGTCATTTGCTCTTCACTGAAACAACACTGCATTAAAACTTCAACAAGTACCAGCTTTTGTCATACCCCGTCAATCAGCAGGCCACTTCACAAACTAACAAAAGTCGGGTGAGCCGCTCCCTAGGCCCTGGAGTTTTGGAGAACTGAGGGGGCTGAGGAGTACTTTTGATTTGTCTCTTCTTTGGTGATTTGTTGACTCTTGTGAAGCTCAACACAGTAAAAAATGTCAGCATTTCCCAAGAATATTCCTCTGTGTTTTTTCCCCCACATTGTTTTATCACAGCGGGCCATTTCCCTATGCTGTCATGGAGAGATCAGCACGGCTGTATTGATATACATCTCTCTCTCAGTTTCATGAAAGGGAAATCATTTACCAGTGGAAAGGAACGTCACTGCCTTTTCCCGATACGATTTGTCCCCCCCCCGCACACACACACACACCCCACTTCCCCACACCACGTACACCCCCCTACATCCCGCACCCCACCCCGCTGCCGATTTTTCACTTTTATCGTAGGAAGAGGAAATGGATGTCTGCGTGCGCCTCTGTGTAAGTGCGCTTGTGTGTTTGAAGTTGGACGCATGAAAGCTTCCTCTTCTGTGTGAGCTCAACAGCAGGTGGGCCGGTGTGTGGGTGTGTGTTTGTATCTGTCGGGTAAAAGGACTGTCAGGACCCGGTGTGTACGTGTTCTTGTGTGTGTCTGTGTGCGTGCGGACGAGCGCTTACTTGTTGATTTAGCATTCCGATGGCCTCCAGGTTGCTTTGCAGTCTGGTCTGCATGTCCTTGATTTTGCTGAGGTTTAGAGCGACGCAGCCCTTCTTTTCCATGCTGCAACACAAGTGTATGCACACAGGCAAACAAACATACATGAAAAATAAACTCTTTAAAACAGTACAGGGAGTTTAGAGGTCTGAGAGAAAAAACAGAATAATAAAACTCTTTCCTTCTTGCAGCTCCTTTAACTGCCTTGTCTGTAGTTTAGCTTAAAAAGCACATTAAGTTTACACTTGCTTCTACCTATTCTTGCACAATGACATGCATTTGCCTGACTGAACAGTTTCAGTCAAATGTCCTCGGAAATCTGGGGCATAAAGAAGTTGGCGTGCATCATCTTCATTATAACTATCTTCATTATAACTTATTACTAAACTCAAAGATGGGTGAGCAAATGGGTTCCAGAAATCATTAAATTATATAAGAAAGTGCATATAAAGCTGGGGAAAAAAAACAAAGCAGCAAAAAACAAAAACAAAACAAACGCAAGCGCAGCCAGGGAACATTAAGAGTACAAGAAGCCATTTAAGATTTTAACTGTTTATTAAAACCGTTTTGGGAAATGACAAACAAATGTTAGGGTCTCCTATCTTCAGACCGAGGGCTGTCTAAGGAATGTCTATTAAATTAACGACGGTGGATAATGGTGCTCTGTACGGGCTGAAGAGCTTGCTGCCCCCGCTTTACGCTCTTTCTTTCATGCCCCAGTGAACCTGTCCAGTTAGCATTTGGAAAAAAAAAACCTTCTAAATACTTTATTGAAGAGTTCTTAGCCCATTAAAGTACCACTGTACCTCCCCAATGTTAATTTTCTTGTAAAAGAGCAAGCTGGGATTTTCTATCAGAGCAGCGGACGGGAAGACGGTCCTATTTTGCCTCAACTGAGAAGATGCACGCACTCATTGAAACGCTAATAAATAGTCCCATTGTTCCTGTAGATGCGTGCGCACGCTCACACACACGCAGTCATAAACTTTTGCCCTTATTAGTCGCAACTGAAACCATTTAAGATGTGGAAGACACTTGAGGAAGACACAAATATTTGAATTGACATTGTTTTCGGCTCCCGTGCATTTGCAGCTAACAAAGGCAACAACAAAAACAGTAGATAGTTATAACGCTGCTTAAAAACGGTACCCAGCAATCTCTTGACTATTTCCTTCTCTGATTTTTGAATCATTTATATGGCTGTAATATTATTTTGCATTTCTATGGATCATCATACAACTTTGAGTTATAGCATGTAGCTTCGAGACTGAACAAAAGAAATGGTTGCTCCAAAAAAAGACACAATTTTTTAATGGCAAAAAACAAACTACAATTATAAATATATCTAGATAACATGAATATTTTTGATAAGTTCCCCCAAATATGCGCAAGAGAAACACAAAAAAAACCAATCCATACATTCTCCAGCTGACAAAATATAATCTGAGTCCCTGCATATTAGCCAACTAACTAATTTAGCTTGGCCAATATAAGTAAGAAAACCTAATTTCCTGAAAATGACATTTATAAACTGAACATAATTGCCACTGACCCTTGCAGATCTTTTAATTTCACACCCTAATGATGATACAAAGAACATTAATAAGAGAAATGCAGAAATTTCCTTTGATCTTTCAAATTTCGAATGCCGCTTGAAAGACGAGTTCCATGAGTTTCCATTGCTACAGCGAAGGGGGAGAAAAAAAAATAACAGAAGACACAAACTTTAACCACAAGCCAATTCCATAAAATCCAAAGCGCCACATCTACACATTTTCCTCAAATGATTTAAACGCTTTCCTACGCGGTAATGTGGTCTTCAGCAGATCATGAATCATCTCCGCTGCTGAGACAACTGTGTGAGATTTATGCACTCGATGTGAGAAACCGGGGAAGTGCCGAGCGCTTGGCTTGGCGCCCGTGTAAACATGTGTTCCTGTGTTTACACGCAAACACAGATGTGTGTAATTAGCAGCCTAATCCAATCAGTGTGTGTATAATTACAGTCATTAGTGTCAAAGCCAAGCGGCCATGCTCTCTAAACCAGGCAATAAACTACGTGGTTCCTCTCCTGCTCCAGTCTCACTCATCTTTCTTATTTACTGTCCTCATTTTTGCTGTAAATTTTATGCAAGGCTCGGCTCTCTTTTCACACAGCCTCCCTCTCATCGCCGCTTTCTGCTTCTCTGTCACTTTGGTTCTCCTTGTTTGTACAAATCCTCTGCTGTGATCACTGGGTGCTCTTAATTGGAAGCACATCGTTAGCGGTGCAACTGATGAAGCCTGATGCTTTATGAGCGCTTCCCCCACATGGGTTGTGTCAGGCAGCCACTGAGTCAGTGCTGCCAGAGGCAAACAGCATCAATCTCTGTTTCCGCCACTCACTGCATATCAATGTGTACTGGTATCATATTTTCAGATATTAGCAGAAATCATTTTTGGGTTGTAATGTCTGTTGTCAGAGTTTATCCTTCTTCTTTTTCTTCTTAATAAGCATTTCTGCAGGAGAGAGGTGGGAGGGAAAGGAGGGGCAAGCAGCATCGAAACCCATCAGGCCACACGCAGCACTTTAGAGGGAGGTACAAGACACTTGTATAAGTGATTATCATGAGGGGCTTTAATGAGATTGTTAATTGACACTATGATGTTACTGCGCAACAAGAGTGTAACAAACTTTTTTAGTATCACCGATCCAGGGCATTAATTGTGCACATAACAACTCCTATCATTGGTTTTTAGTTTGAGCAATACCGCTTTTACCCGGCTACTAACACTCGGCTACTTATTTACTCAGTGGAAATGAAAGGCAAGGTGTTAGTTTGATAAGAGATGTAATTTGGTCTCCGTGGCCAAAAACCTTTGACATATGGACTGTAGATTGTACATTGTTTAGGATCAAACTCTAAAATCTGTTCTCTGTCCAGAGCCACACCCCTGCGTTGATATTACTGTCCTCATAACAAGGTTTCTAAGGTAAACAGATAAAGTTTTGCTTACTTTTTAACTCTTTCCCCCAGAAAAATGTGGCCTTCCCTGTACCCACCAAGACGACTTTTGGCACCTCAGATGAATAATTTGACGACCATTAGAGTTTTTGCAAGAGTAGCTGCATAGGCAGAGACCACCCTCACTAACTTTCAATGCACACCCAGTCATTTTGTCCTATGGGGAGGCCTGAAATATAACAGAAACAGCTCGGTTCAGAAGCGTTACTCCTAGTAGGCTTTTAAGGGATTACAGTGCAAGAAAAATATATATTTGAACATCTACAATTCTACAACATCTGGAAAACAGCTGCTGACGAGGATTACAGAAACGGCTACTAAATGGATTTGGATAGACACGATGTAGTGTAAACACCGTTACACAAAAATGTCTGCTCAGACAGACATGCTTTTTGTCAAAACATCACCTTATTAACAAGCGCTTATTAGATCTGCGTGTCTAAATCTAAGTTTTCCCGTCCGTTATGGCAGCAAATTGAGCTACGAGTTGGCTGATGCTTGGAGATTTCCTTATCCTTCATCCACTAGGTGGATTTTGAGCAGAAAATGCAAATAAATATGCCAATATCATTTTTGACTCTTAAGATTTATATTTGCATGTAAAAAAGCTTCAGTTTTGCGTAATTTGTTGAGTTTTACGTAATTTGTTGAGGTTGAGAAATGCAGAAAATTTCGTTTACCGAGCTAACACAATTGCGGTCCCCTCCATCAGGCCTCTCCGCGCCTCCCTGTGGGCTTTACTTTTTCACAAAATAACAAATGCAATGAAAGGCCTTCTCATTCAAGCAGCTTTATAACAGTAGGTCAGGTAATCATAATAAATTTCTTTAATAAAGGCATATCTAATGACAAAACCTTCACCCCGTGTTGACTGCTGTCAGTGATAGTGACAGCAGACAGACATTGTTAAGATACCCCCTGTCCCACTAGTAATGAAATTTACACTCTGAATGTATACGGCTGCCTTGCAATCATGACATTATCTATTGCTTTATAGAAGTGCAATTTTAACACATATGGCATTTTTTGGTAGGTGCGAGTGTGGGGGAAGGTGTGGGCATACTAATAAAATAAAATAAATTAGGAATCAACATAATGAAGGAATGGAATAAAAAAGGGGGGCAAAGGAGGAAGAGGGGCTGGATGGGGGTGACACAATGGAAGAGGCTTTCATTCACTGTTTTTATCTCGTTCCGTGTTATTATATTCGCTCAATCAAAAACCCTCTCTTATGCATACATCTATATGAACTGCCTCGCTCACTCTGTCCCTCTCACTTGCTCATTCGCAATTATGAGGGAAAGACAAAGAAAAGCGATTCATCTTTCTGTCGCGGCCCCTTAATGATATCATTAAAATGACTGACAGCTTTGAATAGCACTGGAAACCTACCCCAGTCAAAACAAATCTGATCCGTTTTGGAAACAGAGTCTGGTGGTTTGTTAGGGGAGGGGTGCAACATGAGCACATGTTAAAAAAAAAAAAAACGGGGTGAGGTTAGAATGGGGCGTGGGCGGGGGAGCTGTTAATGAGGGGTACCTTAGGGGGGCTCACACTTGGGGTATGGGGAGTAGCGCTGCAGGCAGGTGCCCCCACAAACACCCCCTCTCCCGTACGCGCGCACCCTCTTTTCTCACTTCCATCCTACACCCAATCCCATCTGTGCCACGTTCGTTTTCATTGGCTTAATGAACATAATAAATATATCTCCTCTCTATTGATGAATGCTATTTGGCAGCCACGGGGGTGGCAAGCAGGAGAGGATGGGCACTTGATTGAAGTGTAATCATTGTTAAAGGCCCAGCATGAATAACATATTCAGATTGACGAAGAAGAAATAAAACAGCAGCACGTGCGCACACACGGGCACTGCTACGCACAGGTGGTCGGGCCCGCGGGGCGTTTCATTCACAACTTGGCACTCCTGCTGTTACTATCATCATCAGCTTTGTTCCGACCAGATTGTGTGCGAAAGAGCCAAACGTGGTGGCTTTTGTTACATGCTAAACTTTGATCAGCTGCTGAATGCAAACAAACGTATGCCTTTAAATGTGTGGTCACACACACACACATACACGTGCCCACATAAATGTAGATGACTCACGTTTTCCTGTCTTGCTGTACTCCCCAGTCCCGGAGATGGGCCTGCAAACAATTATAAAAAACAAACCTGTTTATGATTGACTCGCTCTTGTATCTCCTTATTTGTAGTTCATTGCTTTTCCACTCTGCCCCTGTTCACCTTGAAGAGTTCCATGTCTTTCTCCTTCTCATCCACCGCTTCTTTCAGTCTCTTTACCTCCGCCTTCAGTGTGTCATTAGCCTCCTGAAGGCATCTGACAAAAGCAGAGCGACGCGTTAAACAGAGAAATATACATAGAGAGGAAGAATAGCAGACACCTATTATCATCAAGAGACTCTTGTTAACATTGCTGACAAAATAGTCTTTCAAGCAACACCAGTGATGACCGCGTTTCTCTCTTTTCCAGAGCAGCCTTTAACTAGCAGTTCAGACATCATCGCATACACGCATATACTGTAGTCCATTATAACACAATTCTTTTTGCACAGCATTTATCACTTACCCTAGTGACTATCTATTTCAGTATCTTGCCTTGCCCACCAATTTCAGACCTATTAAGAATTCTGAAATTGTTTTATTTGCAGGGGGGGCGGGAAGCAGACATTTTCCGGTTAGGGAATATTGAAGGACTGTGTTCATTATGAAAAGGAACCACTGAGGGAGATGTGATTTCGACAAAGGTGTATGGAGTCTGTTATGCACAAGAGCCACAAGGTAACATGACAAAAACATAAGCACACACGAGCACACATGAACGAGGACACATGTGAGTGGAGACAGAGGAGAACATGGTTACGGTGGTGCTGGGTGGGGATTATGAACGTATGGCACTATAGCTAGACAGCTTTGATCTCTGGCATGAAGAATATGTCACGCCCATGTATGTGTGTATTTATGAGACATGACTAAACAGAAACACTGTCAGGTGTGAGTATGTCAGGGAGTCTACCTGAATCACCTCAGCATATGCACACACACACACGTACACAGACACACTTCATGCTGCCTCACTTCCAAACCACCGCCGACCATCTTCATTCATATTCCCTAAATAAAGCGATGTACAGGGTTGAAACGCATTCATTCGAACATACTTGTCTACAAACGCAAACAAATCTAGCTACTGAAAAATATCGCTGTGCCAAATATACTTACTCTTTCTCTTTAGTGATGATAAGCAGAGCTTTGTTTTGGGCTTTAATCTGGGCAATAATGCTCTCACTGGAAGCCCTTAGTAAGGAAGACACATTTTTTAAATGTAATTCTACACAAACTAACACATCAACAGTTTTTGGCTGTCCTTTAGTTGTTTGAATATAAACAAATAGATCAAAATGCACCATTAAACAGGTTTAAATATATAAAATCAATATTTTCTACAACATAAAGTATTTTGTAGATTGACCTTGAACTGTAGCTACACATAACAGTACACTATATGATACACACATATTTTATAGCATGTGCCAACTAAGAAAACATTAATAACTTCCTTTTATTTCCTTAAATCCTCTGTTTTTATTTTTTAAATTCACAAAAAACATGTTGGGAGTGTCCATACTTTTGCTCAGTGATCCAAAGGTTGACATTAGTCATGACCAGCTGGCTCTCGTGCAGAAGCTTTGCATTGTCAGACCGCGTCCCCTCCATCTCTGACCGGAGCGTGATCACCTACAGTTGATACAGTAGCCAAGAATTATCCATCAAAACTTAAGCAGTTGCAATCTTTTCAGCATTTCCTTATTGCAGATATACTGCCCCCTTTTCTATACTTTACCCAGCAGATTAGTGAAGTACACACCGATGTTCACGCTAACCAAATCCCAAGTAATTTAAACAGGTTAGCAGCTTAAAGTAGTTTTTAAAAATATTAACATCCTGCAGCTTCACACATTTATGGACTGCATGTCTCTGTCTTGTAAACAGACACGCCTGTGCACACGCTCAGATGCAAACATCATATTAAATATAAATGTGGGGTGGAGGGGAGCAAAGGTGTGATTAAAGAAAAGCTAAAAAGCAGGGTAAGTAATGCTTTAAATAGAGGGGGTGCAAAAAGGGTGAGACTAAATGTCAAAAATAGAGCATAATGGCAACACAAGAGAAAAATTAGGTAAATGGAGAATAATGGAGGATGAAAGAGATGGCATTTGCAGACACAGGTATAAATAGCAAGGTGAGGTATTAAGCAGGCGGGAGGGGAGATGGAGGATTTGGTGGGTGGGTGGAGGGGCAGAAGCAGACTGGAGGCGAGATTGGAGAAAGGGAAAATATGGGTGTGGGGTTAACAGGGACTGGATGGCACTGGCCAAACTGCTGACTTTTTCATTCTGCTTATCAGTCAGGACCTTTCCAGGCCTAAACTCTGGGGACCCTGACATATTACCCTTATCGCCATAGAAACACCTTGATATGCCATACCATCTTCCCACAAAGACTTGAGCAAACACAGAAAAAGTTTCCAATATGTGGGCCGTGATTTAAGTTTATAAAAATGTCAAATGATTAACCCGAAATGTCAAAATATCAACTGCAGGTATGAGATGAATCAAGCACGGTGTGCATCTGTGTGTATATCTGCATGTGTATTTTCAATCTCACACGTGCACAAAATATATATTTTATTGTTTTATATTGCCAACGTGTTTCCAGAAAGTTAAAGAAGATTTAAATTTAACACATAGATAAGACTGATTCTGTTGCTGCGAAAGAAATTGTATTCCTGAGCAATCAAACAAAGAAAAGTGATTAAGAATCATTATAATTCATTTTATCATCCAGTGACTTCAAGTGAGCATAACAGGACAAATAATGGTAGTGAAAAGTGAAGGAGGCAATGATTAGCCAACAAAAAACTATCAGCATTAAAAATAAAAGAGATTATTGTCTGTAGCGTCCAAAAACTTTCATAACTCGGCATCTGTTTCCTGATGATTGAGCATCCATTAAATATGTTTTGCCCATATCCAGATGGGCTGCAGGAAAACAGAAAAAAACCCACACTTTTAGTTGCCTGAGGTCAAGGTTTTTAAAATATTAACGAGTTTATCTGACAGAAGTCAGTCAGCCCAGGGCTACAAACAGAGGCACCAGTTCAAAAGTTTGCAACCTCTAAAGCTGATGAATTTTTCACCTGGACAAGAAAATACGAAGCAGCAGACAACACATCGGGTTTTGTTTTTCTTTCACTGTAAAAATTCAAATCTGTTGCAACACAAGGAAATGCATGAGACACTCATTTGTTTAATACCTTATGCATCCACTGAAAAAAACAGAACTGACATGCATAAGAGTAAGCAATGAGGCTGTGAAGATGCCAGTGACACATAATTAATAATTCAGTTTGCGTAACATGATGAAAAATTGCGCTTTTAATTAGGATTGGATTAAGGAAGGGTTGCATTTCAGCAAATAAGCGCTGAAGAGAAACCGTGGGATCGGTGAAATTACATCAAGCAAATCATTCAATTTTGAAGAATAAACTGAGTCAGGCTATCGATTGTAATTACATTAACAGTGGAGTAAATATTGTCACTGTTTGTGACTTCATCTTGTGTTTTGTCTCGTGCTCTGACGCATATTCACATGAAAAAAGTTCTGTTTAAGCCGTCTTGGCAAAACCCCCGCATATTAACACACCCATATTAATTATAAGCGCAAATATATCAAGCTATACCATTCAAAAGATCAAATAACACCCACCCACGCAACACATGGGCGCGCGTACACTGGCAGGATCTGCGGCATGCTGTAATGACAGTAATTACCTGCGGTCTCACATTAACATCTCCCTCCTGACTGTCTGACTGGCTCAGCTAGTGGAGGGATGTAAATCGCAGCACAAGTCTGATGTTGCGATTAGGTCTAAATTACACATCATCACTCTGTTTCCAGCAGTGTCAAGGGAGGCAGAGAGAAGGGTTTGTGAGAAAGAGGGAGGGACATTTGTAGTGATGGTGTGGGGGGGGGAGACAAGGAGGTGCCACTGCAACAGTGGGGAGGAGTAAGTCAGCACACCTGCTTAACATTTAGATTGGTTTTGTTGCACAAATATTTTAGCAGATGATGGGGGCTAAAAGGGGCAACAAAATGCATTTATAACCAAGTTTGGTGATACCTCTTGTCCTTTCAGCTTTATGCTCCAGAATATGAGTTGACTACTCCTGCGCTGGTGAAAGATTTCAAATCTTTACAGCTGCTGTACCATTTCTTTTTTAATTAATTATTTTTTTTATTTATCCTACCAAAAAGAAAAAAGAAGAAGAAAAAAAAAAGCCCGAGTCGTTCCAGCCTACGCTTTTCAATAGATGCAAGCTAGACTTTGCTGGACTCCAACATTTTTTTCTGAACCTATACATCTGAATGAACTTTCATGACAAACCTGAAAGCATACCTGCAGATGGAAAATATAAAAGGAAGAAAGAAAAGAAGGAGAGCAAATGATTGTAGAGACTTTAGAAGTTAATAGATTTTCCATCTTTTCTATTCTCCATGGAGCTGTGGACCGGTATCACATTGCGCATTGGACAAAAGTATATTTTCACTAAAAGCCACCAAACCGTCCAAGGTCAGGGGATAAACATGCGTCAAAGCAGACTTTTCTTGGTAATGAGAGGAACATAAAAATGAGTATAAAATCAGAAACAGATAGCCTAGTTGTTGCTTCTACAACCATCAAACCGCTAGAGCCGAATATGAGCCATTACTCTGTTCCACTCAGCTCATCAGAGCACATCCTCTCATCAAATTAATGAACACATTTATTGTTAAACACGTTTTTATAAAACATTCATTCATTCTGTCTAATTAAAAGACCCAACAGGCCTGACATCACTTAAATATGCATACTTATCACTCACATGGTCTGAATTAAAGATCCACAAGTGCGTGTGGGGCTCTGTGTGTGCACTGTATGCGTGCATGTATGATGGTAAAAGAGAATGAGGCTTCCTAAGCAGGCCTTCTCACTCTAGGCTTAATGGTGGTAATCGTGGCGTGACCCAACATTAAGACAGTGTGTGCGTGTGTTTATGTGTGTCCCACTCTCCCTAATGGTGACGATGATGACATGTTCTCCATTAGACTAGTCAGTGGGCCACAGCAGATCTAGCATATTAATGATGCTGATGATGGCTTCTTTAATTACCTTCGTCTGCTGCTGCGTGGCCTGACTCCTTTTCCCCGATTCCTTTCATCACACACTCTCCTACGCATGCTGCTGGGTTGTTTATCAGTGGTTGCCATTACTGAAATCCTCTGTCTTGCATCTAGCCTGTGTGTGCACAGCTACATAACCAGCCTTGGTTGAAGTTTCACAAGCCCCTTCAGGAATCAGTAGAAAATAAGTTTAAACTTGTAAGGCATACAATGGAAATATTTTACCAAGTTCAGTCAATACGCCAGCACTAATATAATATCAAACAACATCCAACCTTAGAAATAATTCAATTTTGCACTTTTATTCCACAGATCCTGTATAAAGGAGCGTAAGCTAGTCCTTGAGGCGTAACAGCATTACTGACAAAAAACAGAAAAAGAAATGTGCAAATATTGTCGTGCAGCGTCTAAAAGAGAAAAGAAAAAAGTCTACGTTTGATGAAAAACTCAAACAACAGAAAACTTTAAATGCGTTATGGATTGAAGGGATTCGCAATAGCACAATGAGTGATGTTTAGCTGTCCGGCTGACCGGGTCGCACAAGTGCTTAAATAACAGCAGCAAAACAAAAGAGCAATTTTAGGGTCTGAGGTGCATCCGTGCTGTTTTGTTTCAGTGATGAGTTTGGCAAAGCACAGAGTTACGGGGAGGAGGCGCTGCCCCAAAGCATCTTGGGGGAGAGGGGAGCGGGATATTGACAGACGGGTTGGTGTGAAGTCTGCAGTGATGCGGATGCTGTAGCGGTCCATTGTGGCGAAGAGAGAGCTGAGCAAAAAAGCGAAGCTGTTGATTTACCACTCGATCTACATTTCTACCCAAACCTACACACGTGAGCTCTAGGTAGTGACCGAGAGAATGAGATCATGGTGGTAATAAGCTTCCTCCAAGGGGTGGTTGGGATCTCCCTTAAAAATATTCTAAGAACCTCAGCATAACTCGTTCACATCGAAAGGAAACTGTTAAGGTGGGCCGGTCAACAGGCTAGGATGCTTCCTGAATGCCTTCTAGGTGATTGCTTGGAAGCCGCGGGGAAGACCGAGGCCATGCTGGAGAGATTACATCTCACAGCTGGTGTGGAAACTGGAAGAGCTGGAACATGCTGCCAAAGGTGTGTGTCTCTACTTAGGCCGCTGCCGCCATGATCTGCACCCAGATAATCGGCAGAAAATGGATGGATGGATAAATATAGCATACATTGCAGTACGTGGTTTGCTTTTTAACTGCAAGGCATTTATACATAATTCATTATGTTCTCCTGCACACGCAAACACACACACAGATCCACACACGATGACTAATAAATAAAAATGTGCCAAGGTCAATCTCCTCATGGATGCTCTTAGTCCAGTGCGGTAGCTGAAAACTCAGCGACGTGGGGCTATCACACAACACAGCTTGTAATAGAGTGACACAACACAACTCTTGGAATCTGTGAGGGCGAATTTAGCAGAGCTAAACCTTGTTGCCAAGGTGAAATAATTAGATGTTAACCTTGAATAATTGCAGTATTAGTA